TTTCTACAAATTTCTAAATATTGATATAATTTATTAATATAATTTAATAATAATTTAAGTTTTCTATCACAAAGTATCGAATTATTTATACACTTAATTCATTCATTTTTATTTTATAAACACTGGATTAATGCAACAATTTATTTTTTCTAAATTAATTATCATGTAATACAAATTTGTGTAATTTGTTTATTTTTTAATTTTATCATAGGTTCACAGAATAATTTTCTTTTTTTTATATTTTTCTATCGAAACAAATTAGATTTGGGTTAAAGTTTTAGATTACTCATCGTAATATTATTGTTGAAAAATAAATGTGAATATTACTTAATGTAAAATCACAAATCACAATGTTTCTAATAGTATACAAAATAACATTGTATATAACAATTCAAAAGAATATATATTTTCAAAAATAAAAGATACAACAATTGTAAAAATTCGTCCGATGTCATCTCGTCGTTTTTCCGAAACATCACGCAGTTATATATACACGACACCCACACAATAACAAGTCATCTAAAGATATCAAAAATAATATTCGAAAGCTTTGGAATTTATACGAACGATAAAGTATAACCCCCAGGTTGTGGAAATGGTCGAATCCATAAAAAAGAAATTAAAAAACAAAAAACAAGTGGACTCTCGTAATAATAATTCACTTGCGTTAGGGTTTAGAATATGAATAAAAATGATAAATAATTTTCATTGGTCACGAGGCCTGGTCAAATTTGTTCTCAGGGTCACATTTAAGTTACACGAGAACGAACGAACGAACATAAAATTGTAAAGTATGAATCTTTGACTAATACACGTGCCCAACCTTTTACAGGTACTGCTGCAATGAATGAACGTACGAACGAATGAATGAACGAACAAACGAATGTACGAACGTAGGAAAATATGCGAAAAAAAAAACCCATAAAATAGTAAAATATGAATCTCTGACTAATGCACGTGGGCAACCTTTTTCAGGTACTGCTGCAAGCGGCACTGGTGTGGGAGGAGGTACGAGCCGCACCAGCCAAGAGAAACGACATCCTAGCTGGGACAGAATTCCTTTCGGTTTTCATAAACGGTGCAATGGCACCGGCACCCCAACGACGACGAGGATTCCGTCGTGGTGGTCATACGTCATCTTTATCGTCATCATCATCATCATCGTTATCTTCCTCATCATCCTCATCATCATCTTCTTCATCGTCCTCTTCGTCTTCGGGAGACAGCGTCAGCTCGGAGTCCCAACACGAAGCATCGATTTACCGAATTTCCAGAAATCCCAGTGGCCGAACGAGTAGCATTACGAAAACTCAACATTCCGGTCGTAGTCCCGACGAAATAGTTCGTTTTTATCCAATAAGCCGTGAGAAAAATATGAACGACAACGGCCAAGAAAATTTGGCATCGTTGATCGATGATTTGAGCATGGCTACGAGCTTCTCACCAAAAATTACAAACAACGAACAATCGTCCAGGTCTAATAACAGTAGCACAATCATTAACAATAATAATAGCAATGCTAGTAATCATCATAAAATTCTAACTAGCAGGCAAAAGGTTATAGGTGTTAGTGTAACTTCGACTGTCGAGGCTACCCCTTACAAAGTTAGAGTTGAACATTACGATAGTTCAGATGCTCCTGTTGTCACAAGGCCACCTATTATCATTTCAAAAACCTCCAACAAGGATTCGGACAGGTCTACTTCTAAGACTACTTCTCGATCAGTTACCGAAAGATCTACTTTATCAACACCCACGAGTACTACTACTACTACTACAAGTACTACTACTTCTACAACCGTGATGACACCTTTGCCAGCTCGTTTGGTTACCGAAGAACTTACCAATATCGTTTCGGAATCCAACAGAAGCGAATTTTCCGTCGACGAAGGTTTACCGAGAACCAGTTGGCGTCAACACGGTTCAATTACACCCAGAACAACAACTACCACCAAACATAGTTCGATTTATGGTTCCTTTGACAAACAACGTCAACCAATCGTAACGTCCACCACTTTAATTACCGACGAAGATAATTACGAATTATCCGAGGAAAATTCGGAACCACTCGAGATACACGAGGAACCAATGGAAATCGATTCCGAACAAATTTTAACCCAACCCCAGGGTAGAAAAGTTGGCAGACATTACGAGGGTTCACATTTTAATAACAGGCCAACAACGAAATACGGACAATCATCTAAAATTTCTTACAAATCTTCGAGACAATACAGCGAACCATCGAAAATCTACGGCGAACCGGAAAAAGTTTACGGTGAACCAGCCAAAATCTATGGCGAACCTTCCAAAGTTTACAGCGAACCCGCCAAAGTTTATGGCGAACCGTCGAAAATTTATTCGGAACCGTCGAAAATTTACTCGGAACCGGAAAAAATCTATGGCGAACCATCGAAAATTTACTCAGAACCGTCGAAAATTTATTCGGAACCGTCGAAAATTTATTCACAACCATCGAAGATTTATGGCGAACCGAGTAAAGTTTATGATAACGAAGGACAACCGTTGAGACGCGAACAATCAGGTGCTGTTGAACCGGAGGAAGAAAATTACGAGCTCGACGAATCGGTTAGCGTTGGTAGCAATGGTAAAGCTTATGGTCCCCAAATGACCATAACCGAGGCACCCCCTAATTCGTCGGATGTTGAGGATGGTCACAAAGTTGGTTATGTTGAGGAAGGTCGTAATTATCACAAGTATAGGGTCGAGGAAAGAACTCCGGATGGTTTTATTGTTGGCGAATATGGGGTTGTCAGTCACGACGATGGTTCCCTTAGAGGTGTCAGGTACACCGCTGATGGTACCATCGATCCTAGATTGATCTACGAAGCCCTCATGAAATTCCTGGCTCTTTGAATTTAAACAATACAATATTTTCGATCAATTAATTAAGGGGTTACATGGGTTTACACCGGGGAAAAAATAGCATATTTTCAGCAATTTTTTTTTTCTATATAAAAAATGGAATTCTTATTCAAACTTTTTATAGTATTTAAGATACATATTTAAAGAAGATTTTCTGAATTKTTSSTTGAAMAATATTTTAAACTCAGCCATTGCGACGTCATTTCCGGTGACCCCACCGAAAATAAGTGTTTTCGCGTTGACAGCAGAACTTATAAACGGTGGGGGTTTTTCTGTTGAAAAAATAGGATCTTTTAGTGAATACTTAAAACTAGAAACTGGACGAAGGAAAAAGAMAAAAATTRAAAWTTGGATTTTTAGCAACGTTTTTAGCAAGAACATTCAAATTTCGCTACAATTTGCACCACATTTTGGTTTCTTAAAATTCAATTTTATAAAAAAAAAGGAAAATCCTTCGTTCAAGTCCTTGTCAATAGTATCACGAAGACGTGTAGCAAAATTTCATGAAAATCGGTTAAGTAGTTTTCGAGAAATCTTGACAACCGACTTTAGAAAAAACGTTTTGAGAAAAACGCGTTTAAAGATTTGAGTGCTGGTATAAGAGCCATTAAAGAGGCTCTATCTTTAAAACTACTACTCCTATCGACTTCAAAATTCAATACAATATTCTAGATGAGTTGTAGAATTTAAAAAAAAATTTTTTTTGAAAATCCCAAACCCATGTAACCCCTTAACCGAAAGAGTCTTACGGAAGAGTCTCCTATTAAACGAAGACAACAACAAAACAAACAACTAAGAAAAATAAGACAAATTAATAAAAGCGATTTAAGTTTTTCGTTGACCAACACCACCAACCCCCCCCCTGGGTCATCATGATTCAATGGAAGCAGCCACAAATTTTTTTTGTTTGATTTCAATGATCTTTTTATTCCTATCATTTTATTTATTATCAAAAACATTTCTTCTAATATTCTCGATTGCGTTTAAGAGAATTAATGAACAAAATGTTAGAAGTTGTTTTATATATATATATATTATATTATATTATATTATATTATATTATATAAT